TCCTTCAATTTAATTTACCATAGACATGAAATCACAAGATTTTTAACTGAAGAATTTTAGAAAGTATGATTATTGTGGCGTAATAATATGAATTTCATCTGCTAGTGCTATGTTGAGTTGTCCTGAGTCAACAGATGTAAAGCTACTTGCTCATGAAGTCAAATTTGACTGATTTAGTTTCAACAGATTCCAAATCAGTTGCAGTTGCCTTCATTTCAGTAGAGCCAAACTGTACTTCTAACCTGACCTTACGACTCATGCCCTTGTCAGTATTTGGCATACCAACTGAGAGAGATGCAATACACTCCACCCCCCAATCATCCACAAACTTGACATTTTGCCTTTTAGTGCTGTAAAATCTGAATCTCATTGCTGTTTGTGTGGGGTCTGCTGGCCAACGGGTGAATACTCGAAGCTCATCGCAGAGAACCGACTCTCCTTTGCTAACAAGCTGTTCAAAGACGACGTCACAGTACTCATCTCCTAGGCTGTTAACATATTTACTCTTGCCTTTGTGAACGGATTCATTAAAGGTTATACTTGTAGCAAACCCATATGTTAGAGTACTGATGCGTGATTTCACCACTGTAGGGTTTTTGCCATATGTGATGGCTCCCTTTAATATTGCTACCTGGGGTTCGTCAGGGCAGAGAATTTTGTGTCTAGAGCCAAAGTGCTTTTTCATAAATTCTAGCAGAGTTGGACTTTGAGAATATCCTCCAACTAATAGCATGTACTCAATCCTCAGCTCTGTGTTTTTCACAATCTGTTTAATGTTGTCTTCGATTGCCCTGAGACTGTTATCCAAAAACCTCCTCAATTGTTGTTTTTCAATCATGATTGCACCATCTTCCCATTTTACTCCACGAACACCTTCAAAATAACATTCCATGCTCTGTCTTTGACTGGCAATTTCTTTCAAGTTTAATGGGCACCAAACGGTCACATCTGTGTCGTAAGATTTTAAATTAGCAATGTCACACTTTAATTTGAGTAGTTCA